TTACAGTACGCGGATTATTGTTTAATATAAATCACACAATGGTATAAGCTTAAATAGCAATCGATGCCATGATGAGAGAAAAGTACATTACGAGTCAACACTAACCGCTTTTTGTTTAGCAGTAACTTGTATTTTGCTCACAATAATCTTGCAAAAATCAGAGTCTCATTTTATGTAAATTTTCCAAAAACACATTGCCGTCGTTCTCTGGTGGTAATGAACTCATCGGCAATTACACGCCAGTTGAGTGAATCTGTCCTGTACTTATGAATATGTAACACAATTAGATTGTTCAAACGTACTTGAGACATTGTCGATCTCAGGTATGTTCTTTATTCTTCTGAGCGCCGAGAATGTCCTTTCTCTGGTAGCAGGCGTTACTAACAAAATATTTAACAATACAACGACCTTAGAGAACAGTGCTCATTCTAGCACCGACTGTACTAAAACAAATTTCAAAGCGTCAGGTAGAGTAACAGTACTTTTTCCTGTTTTTGTCAAAATGTGAACGTAGCAGCTGAAGCTGCACCTCTAAGAGGTCTCGTTTAATATCGTTGCCATAGAAATCACAAACAAAACCAAGTTTTCTAGTGTACTCGGTCTTCAAAGGTTGTGCGGACTTAATGAGTAAATCCTCCACGTTCTGAAGTACGCGATACCCGGTTGGTCAAATCTCTCTTTTACATTGGCCATTGCAAGATCGAGTGCTTCAAAGTACTTAGGCCGGAACACGTCCTGCACTGTAATTATGTAATAGAGTAAATTGAATGAGTTTACAACTGAATTTATTTCCAAGAGCTGAATGAAAATATATTACACGAGCCTCTTGCGAGTATAATATTTTATTCAAAGAGTTCAATACATTCAGTATGAACTTACACGAATTTAATATTCTGTTTATTACATACCAAAATTAAGGACCTTTTAAAGTGAAAAAAGAACCATTTTTCATTGATGCCCATAGAAAAACGATAACATTTGAAGTGTGTATTACGCAAATGACGTCAAAATATATGCACGGCCGTGCAATACCAATTTCACGGAGTCGCAAAAATGGCACTGATCAATGTTGTTAGCTCATTTGTTTTTGTATTTTGATACTGAAAACTCTTAAACTTAGAATGAACTTTTCCAAATTCAAAGCAGGGCAAAACCATTACAAAAATTCAACAACGTGTCTTAAACATATAAATTAATGTATTTCTTCGTCTAAAACCAAACCGTTAAAGATTATAATATACGGGATACATTGAGAAAAGTAATAAATCCATACACACCCTACATATTACCATTTCATACATGTGGTTTGTGGTACATAGAGGACAGGTATTAAACATGATATTCGTTCTATTTAAAAAAAAATACAATTTTATGACGACAATTTACAAAACGACCGCGTTACACATTTTAACGCCATGCTATTCAATTGAAGATATTTTTTATACTTCTTCTTTTCAATTTATTTTACTTACGCCCTAGAGTTATATAGAAATATATTTTCTTTACACTGCAAAGTGATCAGTTATTTGCAATACTTTGAAAGCAATTATTTGACATTTTTTTAATTAAAAGCGGGATAAATGAAAATACGGTTGGTAAAGGGAGGGTACCTATAACTATTGTTGACAAAGGGAGTTCACCATCGGATAAATGCATTTTTCTAGATATCTTTTTATATTAAAAAAGGGTGTGATAACTTCACGCCTACTAAACGGTGGCTCTTTCACATTTTGGTGATCTGTTTAAATGAGAGCCATCGACACTTCCGTTGCAGAGCCCTCGATGAAAACAAGGCTGAAAAAGGTAAGAAATTTTAGTAAAAATATCAATTTAAAAAGATCATGCTTGTTTTTCAAAAATCGAAGAATGTCATGCCACGTAGAACATTTTTCTCATCATGTTGGGTGCAGTTTCGATAAGAAATACCCTGAAATGACGTTGCTAGAACTTTTACCAAATATAACATCGTGGGTTTTCTTTTACGAGGAGACACATTTTGAGTGATTTCCCTACCGTAAAGTAGATGCTGGCCCACTTAATCGTGCATATAGCATTGTCCCAACCTCCTCTTTGGACCAACACAAAAAATAACTTACAGAACTTAGTTGAAAACCAAATAATCACATTTTTATTATTGTGATCGAGCCATCGACAAGGTGCTGGCGCCATCGGCAATGTGAATGAGCCCTCGAAAATGTGATGGAGCCAACACTATCATTCATTTTGTGATAATATGATGGAGTGTAACCGTTATTATACGTAACTGATTAACATATACAATTTCATATGCATCGTATCACTGGGTTGACATATTGAAATAAAATACGCGATTTGATTATTCGAATTCATTAAAATTGAAGTAAAACCTCTTTGTATAAAATATTAACAGATTAGGCACACAAAAATAGTTTTTAACTTTTAGTCGGTAAAGTTTCAGTTTTTAATTTTGAAATTTATGTAAATTTCAGGTGGAATCTCGACATGAATAAGGGGATACAAAAAAGATTTTCATGTGATGTGTGTGGAAAGACGTACGCCAATAAGGCCAGGGTTAAATTTCATATAAAAAACTATCATGAGCAGGCGGCGACCAGTACATTATGTGGTATATGTGATGGGCAATATGCAACACCATCTTCTCTTAAAAGGCACGTTGAACGTGTACATACACGGAAAGGGGAACTTGTGTGCACGATTGAAGAATGCATTAATTCATTCTACACAGAGAAAGACAGGACGGACCACATACGAATTTTATATGAAATTTAACCCTGGCCTTATTAGCGTACGTCTTTCCACACACATCACATGAAAATCTTTTTTTATCCCCTTATTCATGTCGAGATTCCACGTGAAATTTACATAAATTTCAAAATTAAAAACTGAAACTTTACCGACTAAAAGTCAAAAACTATTTTTGTGTGCCTAATCTATTAATATTTTATACAAAGAGGTTTTACTTCAATTTTAATGAATTCGAATAATCAAATCGTGTATTTTATTTCAATATGTCAACCCAGTGATACGATGCATATGAAATTGTATATGTTAATCAGTTAGGTATAATAAGTGTTACACTCCATCATATTATAACAAAATGAATGATAGTGTTGGCTCCATCACATTTCCGAGGGCTCATTCACATTGCCGATGGCGCCAGCACCTTGTCGATGGCTCGATCACAATAATAAAAATGTGATTATTTGGTTTTCAACTAAGTTCTGTAAGTTATTTTTTGTGTTGGTCCAAAGAGGAGGTTGGGACAATGCTATATGCACGATTAAGTGGGCCAGCATCTACTTTACGGTAGGGAAATCACTCAAAATATGTCTCCTCGTAAAAGAAAACTCACGATGTTATATTTGGTAAAAGTTCTAGCAACGTCATTTCAGGGTATTTCTCATCGAAACTGCACCCAACATGATGAGAAAAATGTTCTACGTGGCATGACATTCTTCGATTTTTGAAAAACAAGCATGATCTTTTTAAATTGATATTTTTACTAAAATGTCTTACCTTTTCAGCCTTGTTTTCATCGAGGGCTCTGCAACGGAAGTGTCGATGGCTCTCATTTAAACAGATCACCAAAATGTGAAAGAGCCACCGTTTAGTAGGCGTGAACTTACATTGATATATTTCATTGTCTAACTACTGACAGACAAGCGGAGAGACAGCGATACTCATTTTTTCACCCATGAAAGCACCGTACATCTAAAAAAATGTATTTCAAAAGTAAAATATTGTAAAGTGAACAAAAACATTAATTTACACATTACAAACGGCGCTTACAACCCACATTAATTACCCAAAGTTTCCAAAATATGCAAAAATAGCCCATACTGCGTTAGTAACTCAGTGGAAATAAAGTGATAAATACTGCAAAAGCAGTCATTAATATCACAAACCATATTTTAACATATCAATTATCACTTGATTCTTAAATCTTAATACTTTTTATTTTTAAATCTTTGTATATTTTTCTCAAGTTAAAATTTTCTTGGAATATTTAGGCTTACCTGGAGGCATGCAGCTTAAAAGGCTGATCAGCCAATGGTGACGACAGCACATATACAATATCACGATTGTACATGTATACATTGACAATCTGAGTTAGCATTTTTCACTATTTACAGTTAAAAATGTATATTTTCTGTTCCTTGTAGGCACGACGTTTTTGTGGGGGCGTTATTTAAACTATCCATACCAAGGCGAATTTCTAATCCTTGATCAGAGGGAGGTATCTAAATATATTCTACATCACCATGACTCCACGTGGCACGGCTGGGACGCTCTCGTGATAAGGTTTTTCGTGCATCACGTTCCATTGTTTATTTTATTGGTTCTCTTGGTACTTGCCATTTTTGTTAAATTATGTTGTCTTAAACGGTCAACTAGCATTACAGAATGAGACATGAAGAAAATAGTTTTTTGTTAAGATTTAAAGTATTTTTACTATAATGATTATACATATATTGTATTTTTTTAGCGTTTTTCCTTAAGTGCTTATGCCTCATCATTTTATAAACGCGATTTAGTAATAGTGATTGTCATTTATTTTTGAAACCTTTTCCACTATATTTTTTTGTTCCGTTGTTAGGGTATCTTGAAAATCCCGCGTCAAAAAGTTGGATTTCACTGTTATATATCTTATTGCAGTATTAGTTAAATATTATTTAAACTAGATATAATTTTAGTATAACCAATACAAAAAATAATTAAAGGGAAACAATCTAGAGTAGCTGTAGAGAGCAAGGTGATCTAAGGGAAGTAACTAAAATAAATATTCTAGCTATATACCATTACCTGATGATTTAAGCCCCTTGAACATATTTAATAACAGTAAATGCATGTAACATATGCTTTATTAAAATGTTGTGTATCTGTGTTTTTGTTGTTGTTGTTGTTTTTGTTTTGTTTTTTCTTTTTTTTTGGTGGGGGGGCGATTATTTATCGGCTGCATTCCGGATGTTATGCTATTTATATAAGAAAATAATTACGAATTATTTGAATAATGTCGTATGTTTATTGATATGTTCATACACAGTACCATTGAATGTTTTTGTATAACAATGATGCAATTGTAAATTTTCAAATGACAAACTATCAATACACTCGATAAAATTGTAATTATCTATAAAAGACATTATATGAAATTTGCTTACGCCGATTCGATTCAAGTTATCCAAAAAGAATGTAAGTCGTCTGTTTCTGGAAGAGTTAGATATTTTATAATAGTTCCTTGCGATAAATTCATATAGAAAAAACGTGTAAAACACGGCTTAAATAAGAACTTACACACGAAAAATAGTAAACAATTATGAAAGGGACTTAGAAATAATAACCAGATAAGAAGCGTGTAATAATGAAAAGATTTGGCATTGAATTCATGAACAAGAGACGCGTATCTATGTTTTGTATTTCATAAAGTCTTTTTTACAAAATCTATATTCACCGTATTTTGAAATCCTTCTCAAATGTGGAAACAATTCATTCGCATATTCATATCTTGATTTAAGTAACCCCATATAAGTTATTAAAACACTGAAATACGTTAGTTTTTTTCCTGCAATGATTTGTTTTATGTTTGTTCTACAAGTCAGTATCAACGTCTGCAATGTCACTAATTATCAACACCTTAAAGTGCTACACAATTGCCACTGGTTTTATAACGTCTGCTTCTTGTATTATTTTCTGAAAGTCTTTCACATCTCCGGCTTTAATTTGCTTCTTTCTTTCCGCGTCTAATTTGTCTTGTTCGTCTTTGTAACGAATGGCCTCACGTGTTTCTAAAGTGTGCTTCTCTGCTCCTTGCATCAATTCCCTAAAGATTACAAACAAAATACGAGTATATCAATTTCCACCTTCATAACTTGATTTTTTTTTGTTTTAAGTTAATGACTATATACCTCTTTGTGTATTTTTACATTACATGGAAGCATAAAAATGAACCACATAACTTAATCAATGGTCGTCTATTTTGATTGCAAAAGAGACCACAGAAGCTTAACTTCATAAAGACGAGTTTGTAAATATGAATAGAGTGGTAACACTTAAGAGCAGTGTTAAGTTAACAAAAGATAACGAAAGATACAAAAATGCTATTATGAAGTGGAACTACTTTTTGGAACTACTTTTTCAATTGTTATTGTTCCTTGTATTCTTAGCAGGGATTTTATTTAAAACTATTTTACTACAACATATACATATACGAGGGGTTATCCAAAAATTCGTGGACTTTTTAAATATCTTTTGAAAGTAATCAACACGTTTTGAAACGAACAGTTAACTGCGTCAATAAATAATGATTAAATATTGCTTGTAAATAAGCACATACATGGCACCCGGCGCACGGTAGAAAAGCGCAGTTAGTCATCGTATATTTTTTTGCTAAAAAACTACAAATTAACGTAGAATACCCGCTAAACATTGCATATTTCTTCTATGATGTCATTAAAGTAATTCTGTAAAATTATGGACGTCATTTCCGTTAATTTTTGTTGAAATCGCCAGAAACGCCAGACGACGATATTGTTTACAACGGGAAAATGACGGACACGCAGAATTTAGAAAATAGCGTGATCATAAATTTTTGTTGTAATTTGGGAATGACACCAACAAAAACATTTGAAAAAAAAAAAAAAAGAAAAAAACAGCAGGCGAACAGAGAAAATAATATTTCACTATCATTAATGTTTAAGTGGCATAAAAATTTAGTGATATACATTACTTTGTGAAGCAGTAATGGTTATTGGCTGCGTAACGTTGAAGCAGAAGTTGTATGTAAAATATTATGACGTTGACGTCAATAACTTTTTGGAGTGCGCCGCAGTCGCTGACATGTGTTTATGTAAAATTAAATATTGTTGTAATATAATAAGCTACTAACATGAATTTTTCTGTGTTTATTTGTTATTCATTCTTTTAAGCAGTGTAAGATTTTCAAATCAATATCTCAAATACATTTTACGCAACAAGAAAGTCCACGAATTTTTGGATAACCCCTCGTACATATATAACAAACTGTCAAGGGAGGTACATAAGTAATTTGTTAATAAAAGATAGCGAAAGATACAAAAAATGCTATTATGAAGTGGAACTACTTATTTGCAATGATTATTGCGCCTTGTATTTTCATTCTAGAACTATTTTACTACATCATATACATGTATACCAAACTATCAAGAGAGGAAACTAGTCATACAAATTAACACTTAGTTCTACACTTTATTTTTGGAATTCATGAAATAGATGCATAAAATATACTTAAGTGATATCTATTAAACTTACTTCATGTCTACAGTACCGCTATTATCATCGTCTAGGTTCTTCATCAAAATTTCTATCTCAAGATCTGTCATATCTATTCCTACACTCTGTAATTCATAATACATTTTATGTCAATCGAAATTATAGTATGATATACAAATATCCTTGATTATAGGTTATTGCTTTTAGTCTTCCCATATTTTCAATCACCTTGTATCAATACCAGGTGATATTGCATATACATGTGCAAGTATAATGACTCATTATTGATCAATGAATTTTGTATAAAACTAATTTAATTTTTTTCAAGAAACGGGCGCCATGATATTAAAAATGAGAGAAAATGCTTACCCTTATTCCTTGCTTAAGTTCACTTAAATCCAGAGAAAGACTACCATCACGATCAAAGGTCAGTAAAAGGTCAACCAATCGATAGCCCGCTTGATCTAGCCATTCTTTCAACTTTGTCATAGGATCAGCTTGGTGATGTGCCCAAGGATCATACTTGGCGTTTCTGAATGACGTCACATCTAACATGACATTACCATACAAAATGGTCGCCTGCTTTTCTTCTATCATTTCGTCTGCAAGTTTCTTAAAATCCATTTTCACTGTGAGATTCTGAGATTAAAAAAGGTGATATATCAAAGGCGTTTAAATACATGGTAATTAACGAAAAAGCAGCCGATAACTTTTTTTCAATCTTAATTTTCCATAAGTTTTATATGTATAACACAAATCATGATTTCAGTCTCATCTATGTTTCCATAAGATGACAGTTTTCTGTTTTATTTTATTATCACAGCAAAGAAAATGATCAGTTTTAACTAACTGGTACAACATTGGGAAACATGAATATATTATAGTCAATTGTTGACTCATCGACTTTCTTTTAATTGAATATGATGAGTGAAAATAAGATTTTAAGCAGGACTATATTGTTATAAATTTGTATATAATTTATCAAAACATAACGGTTTTTTTTCTTCAATAAACATAACATGTATATAATCATATAGATCTACATCATATCTAAATACATACGCCAAAATTTAAATGTTTGATGTTATTATGAGAATTTCTGTCAGCCGCCACTAAAACCACATATCCCCCTTCTCCTTGAATCGTGTTGTAACCTATCTGTAAACACAAATTGTCGTCTGTACATTTTGGTCAGTATATCATAACATTCCAGAGTAAAATGGACAAAACATTCTCTTGAATTCTATTACAAAAAAATTAATACTATCACTTAGAGGAAAACAAGTCTTGGTATCTTTTTGATTAAATATTGATGTCAACGAATACATTATATCTACGGCTTTTAATAAGATAAGATATCTTAATGAAAAGTAAATATAAATGTATATAGTACATATGTATATAGTTTACAACAGAATTTTACTGACTTATTTCTGAACAGAAATTTTTGTTTTCTAAATTATAAAACACAATGTCTCTTTCTTACAATAAAAATCAAATATGGCAAAAAGCTAAACGCATCCAATCTCCTACGCAGTGATCTCCCCTTATCAGTACATTAATCTGCCAAGGCAGTTAATCATTGTGAGGAGTTTGAAGCGCACCATGTAATTCACAGTATAATGGAGAATGTTATGAAAGTTTATTTCATGGGTGAATATCAAACAAATAAAAAAAAGTCAGGAAAAATAATTAAATGTAACTTACATTAAGTTTTTCTAAAGCATCATTATTCTGTATGCCTGCAGCTATATGCGGTGCACCTTGCAGTGGTATTCGGCAGAAGCTTATGTCCAATTCTTGTAGAGTATGGTTATCTCGCAGCATGTCCTCTAATGCTTTAGCTCCTTCCAATCCAAACCCATTCATACAAAGATTCAAGTATTTCAATCCTGTATTCTCCTAAATATCAATAAACCAATGTTTGATATCAAGTTTTCAAAAAAAAATGTTTACTTTGGTTTTTCTTTTGTGGCAACTGTTGGAAGAACATTTTAATAACTTTTTCTCCATCCAGTAACTTCAGTTTGTTATTAGGGCAATAACCAAAACGTTCTAAAAGTTCCTCTGCATTAAGTAAATTCTTATATCTTTCCTTTTATCAGTCATTAACCTTTAGCCTGTTAGCAGTGACTGAATCTACCCGGAAAAAGATAAGCTGGCACATCCGTGTCGTCTAATCTTTGTCTGAACCTCTCGCTATTTAGTCAATAATTATTTTGAAATTTTCCCAAAATGATGATGGGGTTTTACACATTGAAATATGGACAAACTCATCTAAGGCACCTAGCAGGATAAGAATTTAAGAAAATGAAAAGATGAAATATTATATTAGTTTTATTTCACGATTTATTTATTTGCTTCCTTTTTTTACTTCATTCTGTCCCAGAAAATGGTATATTTTAATTGAACAATTGCTACCTGGTTCTTTACACTCATGTTAAAATACAAAATAAAGACGGTCGATGAGACAAGAATGAACTTACAGCAACACCTTCTGCAATTGTACAGCATCCCCGCCATTGAAAATGGTTCCAACTCAAATCGAGTGTTTGTAAAGTGTCGTTTTCTATCAGGGAATCTTTTAAAAGTTTTGCTCCTTCGTCTTCAAATGAGTTATGTCGTAAAATAAGTGTTTTCAAGTCCGTATTTTTCTGTAATGAGAAAGGAAAAGTGTTACTAATTAAGATAACGATAAATGAACACGAAAACAAAAAGGATTTACGAACCATTCATAGGCACGTAAAATATGCCGATAATAAATACTAAAAAGAAAAATCAAGATAACAGCTTTGTTCGATCAAAACAAATAAAGTTTTACCGAGAGCATTTCATAGAAATCTTCAGCCGCCCCATCCTCTATATTGTTCCCTGAAATTTTAACAAAGATATTATTTATTTATTTATTTCATAAACTTAGAGGGATGTCAAAATGGATATTTTTTTAAGTCATTTGTTTGGTTTACAATAGAAGCGCAAAAACCATACATTTGTTTTTGACATGATGGGATTGGAAATAATTTTTCGAGATTAATGTTTCGTTTGATGAAGGTCTAGACAAATAACTTGTGTGAAAATTTTCAGATAATTATCCTAATTGCGAAAAATGACCTGCAACGCTTTTCAATAAAATTGTGCCAATTAAAGCACAAAATATGATTGACAATTCATTTCTAAAGACATTCCTTTCTAATATTTTGTATATATTTCTGTTTCAAGTGCCCCATGCGGTCTCTGTGAAAAAAAAAACATATCTCATGTTTTAGGCTTATGGACCACAGTGGAGTTCCTTAAAATCGTTGGCAGACAGACAATTTCATTACCTTTGAGATCTAAATATGTTATTGTTTTGTTTTCCAACAGTAAATCACAGATTGCCTTCGCACCTTCTATGCCCATTTTATTTTCAGACAATATCTGAAAGGAAATGAAGAATTTATATCAGACAAAACGACAAAGTGAATTTATCATCATTACTCGGACGATTATATTGTAAAGAATTTGAAAATCTATTTGAGCAAATGGCTAGCTCAAGGATGTGCTGATGTAAATTTTGATAACCGGACTAAAATACCATAATTAGAAGTCCGGACCAGAATTTCGGACTTGCCAGTAAATATAAACCAATAGAATATAGAAAAAGAAAGCATAAAGAAAGCCAAGCACTACAAAATTGAAATTGTTGAAGGCTCGGCTTGACTGAACCTTTTTTTCATGAATGTAAGCTACCGTCCACGCCCACTTGCACCGACTTAAGCAGAATTAAACATTTGAAATGATCTGGTAATATTTTGAATCAAATAACAGAAAAAAACATCGATGAAATGTATGAACTTACGAGTTCTGTAACATAAACATTGTCTTTAAGAACTTTTGCGAGGTAGTTTGCTCCAATTCCTAGTATATAGTTGCCTTCAAGGTCCATTTTCTCTATAGTCGTGTTAATCTACAAACATTTACAGTTATAACTTCGTTTTCGTTCAGATGTCACTGCATTTGGATGGACTATTTTTGTCTAGTTATGTTCCAATAATATTTTTTGGGGAATATTTCTGAATTAAAAAAACTGTAAAAATATGTGGAAGTCCGAAGCAGAGTGGTTAAGATATGTGAATCACTATTTCCACACAGTGGATTTGAATCCCGCCTCCGGTCATTCGTGGCTTAATAAGATGCATGCATCACCTGAGGTCTTCATGCAAATTTGACATTGCAAGTGTCGATGTGACTAAAAACTATTAAACGGCGAACTTTTTGTGTGTGTGAAAAAGCAATAACCATTAAATATATACTTACACAAATATACATTTTTGGCACTTCTCTGATTATTGATTTATTTACACTAGTACTGTAAATAAAGGATAATCTTAAAACATACCTCAAGAGGGTCAGACATTGCTTTTACTCCCAATGGCCCTAAACCGTGATATTTCATAATGAGCTCCGTATCTTGCATATGTTTAAGGAAGTATGTGATTGGCTGAATTTCGAGTTTCTGGCACATGCGCAGATAACGATTAATTCCCGTCGTATCTCTGTCATACAATTCCGGATTCAACCATCCTAGAAGCAAAAAAAGTCGTACAAGTAAATACTTCAGGTCAAAGATAAATGAACAAACATTAACAAGCTTTAACATTAACAAGCTTTAACATGAAGAGCTGAAGGAAAACATGAAAGCAAAGATGTATATTTGTGTCGTATGCTACACTTCACAATTTCACTTAAGACCTTATTAAGAATTAGTAGGACCCACACAAAAACTTTATTGTCATTTAGAACATTTTTTGTTAGGCCAAAAAACTAAAAAGTAAGGTAATTTATCTGGACCAGTTGCTGGATATAGAAAGAAACATGATGAAAATAAATAATTTCTTGTTTATAACGACTGCACAATTCAAACAACACGCCGGTGTCCTTTAAGTAACACAAAAAGAAACAAGATACTACGTTAACTTACTATCTGAATCTTCCATTTCAAGATCAGTATCATAATCAGCATCAGGTTCCATCTCTGACATTGAGGATACACCTGACACACCTGTACCTGTTGACCTCGGCATTGTTTCATCCAGATCATCTCCAGTACGAGATTCGGGAACCAGCAAATCTTCTTCATCAAAGTCCTCCTCATGAATAGCCCCAAGATCTCGCACGCTTGCTTCTGTTAGAAAAACCTGGAAAGACACGGTGAGTGGTTTAGAACACTGTATTGTGATGTTGTATTTATGTACGTGTTCGCGTTCGTGCGTGTGTAAGCATGTTTGTGTGAAGATATAACCTTTATCTTACCATATCTTACAATAGTATCATAGAAAAACAGTTTTTAACTAAAATACGAAACTTAGTCATAAATCAGATATAATCAACATCTTTGTAGTGGGATAACAAACTTACAGGATCCTTTTCAGAAAGCGTGATGTCGTCCAAACTTCTTGGACCGTCTGTGGGATCAGTCGTTATGTCATCCGGTGTCATCGGCTCAGAGAGTTTGCTTAGCGATTCCTTAGTAAGTCGGGACTTGACTGGGGACATCAGGCGTGGTGGGGTCACTGAAGGTAACGGTGACCCTCCCACTTTGGGAAGCACTTCACTTGGCATTTTGACGGGCACTGTCTGTAGTGAAATTGAAATTAAATCAGATAGGATACATATATAGTTATAAAATGTAAAATATGTATACACAAACCTCAAGAATATGTAAACATAATGTATACAAGTACCTAAATTTACACATGCTTAGGTAGAAACAAACATAACATTAACAACAATAGCAGAATTATCAAACGTATCTACTTGTTTAAATTACATATAATCATCCAAGTATAAAAGATACCTTATGAATGCTAAAGCTTTATGATTATAATAAAGATTGAAAGAATTTTCAAAGGAGATTTTATATTTTTGAGTTAGCTTCTTTCCTTAGTACATAATCTTGAATTATAACTTATCTTCATAAAAATAACAATTCATTTGATTTTCAAAAACTGTATTTGTAAAATAATGATACTAACATGAGTCAGAGTGTTATCAGGTACGTTTCAATTTTTTTTTTTTTTTTGAAAAATATAAAGATTTACAAATTATTTAGTTATTTTATTATCTACATAAACTACATTAATATTTATCAGTTTCTAAAACACCAATTGAAGTTAATCTATGTTATTTTTTACTGAATCAGGCTTTAAAGTTTTAACCTCATAGATAGGGAATCAAAATTTACTTACCTTTTTACGCTATTCCTTGTTTACTTCAGCACTTTTTGAAGGAAAAATCGCGCGACATAAATGCACTTCCTAAATTATTTCTTTAGAAACGTCGAACATATGTATTTAATTATCCATTATGTAAGTCTTTGTCTTTTAAAACTCTTAACCTACCTATAATGTCCGTATTTTTCATGTACTGTTTTTAATTCTTTCGTCAAACATTCATGTTGCAAGTTAAAGTTCTTTATCTGCGAAAATGTCATTAGACAATTAGATTGACGATAAAATATCTGTTATTAGCCATCGTTATATACAATACAATGATCACAATATATCTTTTGATCTCGAATGATCCTACTCAATACACTCTAAAGTTAGGAAACAAAAATATAAAAAAAAAACTTCAGTCTTTTATTTTATGAATCTCGCATTTGATATACCAACTATTGTTATAAATGTACCTAAACAGTTGAGCGTTTCGAGTTATCTTAAATTTGATAAATATTAGTTTTGTTTAATAGTAATTGAATAATATTTTAAAACTTGATGTACTTAAACTTGATAATAAAGCTTATAAATTGTTTTTGCATTTTGATGAGATTTAATCCACCCGTTATACCTATTGACAAATAAATGGTAAAGTGACGGGCGTCAATAAGCCTGGCTTATCTTTGTTTTGTTCTTCATGTCTCCAATGTGCATTAAAATGCAAATTAAATTGCAAAACAAACAGCTGAAGTTTTACGGTGTCATTTTAAATGATAAGTCAATCTTTTATGAAGCCTTTTGATTTATTATACTCTTCAATTAATGTTCCAATTTTTATGATCGTATTTACATTATCTATTTAAAAAAAAACTTTGTATCTTTTGATATTTTATTGATACAACAGCGTACTGTTAAACGTATTGTAAAATTCAAAATAAGTGTATGGTAATCGGTGATTCCCCTGTCTATGATTTTACAGGGCCACCGTTTAGTTAATTTACGCGAACGAAAAATAGTTTTTACGAAAGACTATTCATGGTTATCGCCCTTTGTAGCCTTTAGAAATAATAAGTTTTCTTATTCTCACTCATTACGAATTATCGTAAATCTTTTAAAGATAGCTTTATAAATCACTGGCCGACGGCAGATTGAGGCTGGACAGTTCATTTTGAGCTTAAGGGCTACATTTTCTGCTCCTTAATTGCACGATTCACCCTCATCATAGCTGGAAATACGATTTCTCAGATCTAATTTAACAGTAGGTCAATAACTTTGACTAGTGTCTGACATTTGAATGTTTTTTTTTTTACTTTTTACTCTGACTTAACGACTTATGTACACATGTGATTGTAAAGCATATCCAAATTTTCTGCTTAAAAAACCAGCGGTACCTGCTTTCATTTCTGTTCACATTTCGCGATTTTTATACACTTCTTTTAGTTTAAGATTATTCTTTTTCTAATTGTAAATGTTTTTTAAAACTATTCCTATACAAACAATTTTCTCTACTAAAAGAATCGTCCTAAATAATTCGATTTTATAGAGTATTAAAGCAAAAGCTGTAAGCCATACAGGTCTTACGTCCAGTCTTTGGCAAAGAAAGTGAGATTACACATTAAACAAATTTATATAGAAATGATGATTTCGGATCATCCTACAAAGCAGTACCTAGAGTTATTGCCTAAACCTAGCTTTATGTACCCACTACCAACTAATATCACCTTTAATTCCTCAAAATATGCAAATATTTTTCTTACTCCGCCAGTTATAGGGTAGAACTTTGGTGATAAAAGTAGTAAATTTTGACATATTTTTCATAATACATTCAATTTTTTTTACATGACTTGTGAATATGTACACATTTCTCGTAATGCAAAGGTTATGAGTTTAAAGATTTATTTAACCCATCCGGAGTATTCCGTTTTATAATCATTACACACTTCATTGCCTTTAGTTTTAAACATATGATATTTTTAGTATGTTTTTGATTATTTTTACACAATCAGCGGCATTAACAAATGTTTGTACGATATAATATTCTAATTGTACTGTGCTTGTGATATTCATTCATAGCACTGACTTGTCTTTAATCATGTCAATGTCCATTCTTTTATATTCTGCTTTATGCAACGCCATCAGTGGCACAGCTAAAATATAAACACCAACAAGAGCCCAGTTTGCCCACCCGGTTTCTGAAACAATGTCGATGATTTGTAAATTATTGTTTAAAAAATCTATCTGTTATATAATGAACATACATATATAGAACAATATTTTAGCACATATTTATAGTTCCCATCATACCGTTCTTTAAGCTTTGCTTCTGTATGAGATAATCAAGAATTCTGTAGATATGCAATTGTTTTTCTTTTTACTATTAACAAAAATGATTTATCTGTTTTAAAATGATGTTGTTTAATTGCTTCCAAGAGACTTCTCCTTTTCCAGTTTGTTTGTATTTTACCGAAAAAAACATACTTTGAAAAAGAAAGAAATGGACTAATGTCCTCTTATGTTTTTGCTGATAGAATTAGTTTGATATTCAAGTAAATTTGTAAAAAGTTTTAAACAACACTTACAATAATTAATGATATTTGCAAAATAAACAAAAGTAAAACTGTAAAAAAACAAGATACATACCAATATTAGGAATAAGTTCTATACACATGAAGATTGTTGCTCCTAGATTAACAATCATACCAAGAAAGCCTGCAATGACGCCTTCTCCAACAGGATACGCTGTTTCACATGTTATCTCTAGAAACAGTGGCATGCTGCTACTAATAAGGGCATTTCCAATAATTACAGTTGCATAAAATGCCTCTGAAAAAAATAAACAACAACAGAAACACGCACGGTGACTCCATTGAAATGAAAAGGTATCTTTGAATTTTAAAATTTTTTTCAAGTCACCTGCTCGATCCATTGCACCATCAATACTTACACATTAATATCATGTTTACAGGTCAAGTTAATCTAAACCATTTTTATGTTAACAAGATAGCGTATACTGAATGCACTTGAAGAAATTTATAATAAACAATTGTATACAATGTTTTGCTATTAGAAAAGATCTTTATTGTAAATGTAAATTTTCCTTTAAATGTTTTATGCTTGATAAAAATTTAGTTACCCCATCATATTGATAAATCACAATTAATGATAAAATTCAATCGAAAACATTTATTTTTGTAAACAGTCTTACATAGATGTTGGCAGTAGATATTTCTTTTAATGTAATACTTTAATATGTACCTTACTAATTATTCAAATGTATTTCATGTATAATATAAAATATGATAGTGAATATCACAAGGCAGAACAACGGCAGAGTAATATCACAAGGCAGAACAACGGCAGAGCAATGCATCATCAAAATAAATGTGTGCATACTACCGGTATTTATTCAAAGACACATTTATTTGTCTTTTTTCTGTTCAGTGTTTTTACGTTATATGTAAGATAAATAATGTACCTTTTGACTTTGGCAGAATATCAACACACATGCATGTAAATAAGGAAAAGTCAACAGCCACACAAATATACAACACTGTTATAAACAACTTTGTCTTCTTCTGGACATGATCAGCAAACCTGAAAAAATGTTTAGTTTTTCGGTCAAAGCATGCTCTTTTTTTTATAAATCTAAAATAATGCAGTTCACCAAAGTACGATGTACTTATGCTCATTGTTTGTTTTTTTTTCTTTCTAAATGAATGACTTCAAAGCCCTTTATGCCCCAGAAATGCTCTTATTTTATTTCTCAAAAGCTTTCTTTTATTTGGTGTCCCGTTAACTTGTTATAGTTTCCAACATATTTCCATAGCTTATGACCTGATCAATCTGTAGCTTCTGCTGTATTTTTGCAATTAGTAAAGTAACAGTGAATAAGAATTTTGAATGGAAATCAAAATAATACCTTGTTAACATTTTGCTACTTTCACAACAAATACCATCACATTTAGCGCTACTTTCTTTCTGTCATAAGCTTTGAACACGCTCTTACACGTTATAAAAGTCATGTTAACTCTTCCAAAATGAGGGAAAAAATCATTTCTGAAGCATAATGTGCTTTAAAAAGTTGTTGTTTGTGATAAAATAAAAAAATATACAAGATAAAAAAACAACAGGTGGGTGATTAATTTATACCTACATATCTCTTATATAAAAAATAAGAGCAATGTCACCTGCCAAGAGCAATTCCACAGACAACACCAGAAATCGATCCATAGAAATTCATCCAGCCAGCATCTGTCTAATGACAGAAACAGTTATCATTAAATTCGATGTAAGAAATTATATAACTGTCTATGTTTTATAAGAAAATGGTAAATCTATTATAAACGCAGCAAAACATTTTGACTATATTGTATTGTTCATGTAAAATGTGGAATAAAAATATATGTGAGAACATTGTAAAATGGACAAGACTTACCTTTTTTCAGATTTTTAGTATTATTTCGAGATTTTTTTTGTATTCTTTGTATGGAAACAAAAAGTTAGTTACAAAACGTAAGATTAAATATAAACTCGTACCTGTGAGACGCCATATGGACTAAGTACGACATCTAATATTGATGACAAGTTTCCATAAAATCCCACGGGGATAGAATACATTGACGCTAGAATCCATACGGATGGGTTTCTAAAGAAAACATCTCACATAATTCAATTTCAAACAAAAATTCAGTTGGAGTTCGAAAATTCCATATTGCATTGACGTTTCATACAATAAAACCAATATTTTAAATCAGATTAGACTGTAATGAGGATAAAATGGTGCATGTACATAGTAGAAAGGAAAACAATCCACGTACACTGCTAGTATCATAAACTTGATATAAAATTATTATTTTTATTATATAAAATCTATTTTTGAATAGCTACCATCTGTTTACAATACAATTTTTTAAGCTGCATTCACTCAGTATTTAGAGAAATGGATTACCAAATATTGTATCCGACTTTGCAAAATCTGAAAATATCATTGATATATATGCTAACAAATACGTAGTAAGGATATCATTTTCATGCTCAATATTTTTTGTGTTTTTTTTAAGTAACTTACTTTACTAGTTTTGTAATTCCCTCCTTTAGTCCGTACCGACCTGTACTCGCAGTTTTGCTTGGAGCGGTTTTTGGTGCCGATGGAAGGTACACGATGCAGCATAGCATCAGAAATATTGCAAACCCGAAAGCTTCACAGAAAAGATAATAATTCATGACTATTTATCACTGTGCAAACAATAAAGACGTAAACATGTTCGTTGCTTTCATATGCGTTCTGTTAATTAAAAAACAATCAATAGGTATCAAGTCTGATTATTTTCTTTTCGATTGTATCGTTTTCATCAAGTTTTTTTTTTCAAATATTGTATGGCAGTATAAATTAACAAATTCGTGTAGAATAATTTTGAAATAATGAAAGATAGTTATTTAAAAATGAAAGATGAGTTATTCATATGACAAACATGTACAAATATTCAAGCTCAGATGTTATGAGTACTATAACAGGTTTTGAAAGCTGAAGAAATTACGGAAAGGTGATGTAAATGTATGTGTACTTACACGTATAGTGTAGTTTCATCATTTGAGATTCAATAAGTGATGTGTCTAAAACAGAAAGATGAGTCTGTACATTTATTATTAAGTGTATAAAAACCTGAATTGAAAAATAAGGTAAGACCGACCAATAAGTTACGTTAATATATTTTAATATGTGTATATTTTACAAACAATAATTAAAATATTCAAGATTTAAAATTCAAAACGTTGTCGACTTGAACATTTTTGCAATATTTCTTTTTTCTTTTGGGGGAGTGGGTCATCTTGTTCTCAACCCTTTACCTCATATATACGCAAAACAACGCATTTTCGACCCCCTCCCCTCTTTAAGGCCTCATAGTGAAGAAATGTCCTGTTTGGGCCCCAAACACATGTTTTCGTTTGAGAAATGTTGAAAAAAAGTGATCACTTTTTCGGCGCCGTCCCCCATCAAAAAGGTCCTTCAGGAGGTTGCCAGAAGGGGGATGTGTCCCCTTCTGTTTGGGGGGTTTGAACGGGGCGGCAGTCCCCCTCATCGCCAAGAAAGTTTTGGACTTGTGAGAGGCTAAAAATGACCCCAGGTCAATCATAAGGTAACGTGTAACCAACGCTGAAAAGCCTTTGACTCTATCTGAATCCATCGAGAAGTTGCAGCACTTTGAAATCAATTTAATGGAAAAAGTCAACGCAAAATAGTGATTTTTGGCAATTTTGAGATGTCAACTCGTTGCCATAGTAACAGGAATTTAAAGACTGAGCATATGTTGTTACAAAGGCAATGGTCAAGTCAACATTTGTGCCAAGTTTTTTTTAGTATTGAAGCAGTTTTTATAGTTTTATAGCAATTTGAACTTGTAACGGGATACTTTTCAATGAAAATAGCCATTTTTCAAAGACATGCAGTAATGGGTTTGAAGAAACTATTAACATATTAAATACAATTCAGCAAAAAGGTGTAGGCTATTTTATGTGGTTTTAAATGATGTATATTTATGTCGAATTAATACTTAGATATTCTAATTGTGTCTTGAATGAGATGGATATACTTAAACGGAGAACATAACGTTCATACATGAAGGAAGTATGCTTGTGTGTTATTATACATTTCAACATGAATTTGAATTTACTTCAACTAAATACTCATTACCCGTTTCATTCAGAATAACGCTTGTTCCATTTCTGAAAATAAAAATTGTTTGTTTCGGATAATCTACTATCACATATTCTGTTACAAGTATATAAATGCCAAATTATATCCAAAAAAATGTTTGAAATAACAATAAGGCTATATGATTTATAAGAGCAAATAAGACATATATTTATATAATGAATTATAGCAAATTTAAGAAATATATATTTTGTTCATGCTTTCGTTGCCTTCATCTTCTTATATTTTTTAAGTAAAACAGCAATAAAGCTCTATGTAGAGCAAAAACCTATATTTTGATATTTTCATCATCGTTTCAAAACAAGAGGTTTGTTCTATATAAATTGACTTACAACTTTGGCATCGAAACTGTCAACGGACCTGTGAAGAGAATGTTAGTGTTATTGTTACTGTAATCTGAACAAGTTTTAAAAAGAAAATAATAACCTTGTTTTATATTTGAAAGCAAACTACTTATATAAACGGACTCGGTGAAATTATCTCTCTGTATGTTTTTAAATACAAAATCTCTTTAATAAAAGTTATCTTTTGATTTTTTGTAAATGCTTATATTTCGTTATCTTTATTCAGAAGAAATTAGTGTGTGTATTTGTAAATATAACAAAAAATGCACACCAATTTAAGGAGTTTAGGTTCTAAAATGTCATGACAACAGTTTATGATTACAACTTTCATGTCCACTTCCGGTTATGAAATTTCTGTCTTATTTATGAGTTTGTGTTATAAATACAACTACGAATACTATGATAAAATAGAATATATCAATACCAAATAAATAAGCTGCAGCAGCACCTAATGCCGCGGCAAGAGCAGAAACAGCTGTTGCAGTAGTCCTCTCTGTGACCTTGAACCATGTTTTTGATACAACAGTTGGGATACACATGGTTACACTAGTGGCTATACCATTTAAGCCTTGACCAATGGCAATCAATCTAGAAAATGTACAAAGATACATGTATATTGCACATCAATTTCTCTTCTGAGGGTGTCCAGCTGCTCCGCTAACATTCTAACATTCTGTAAATTGAGCTATTTGTATGTGTCTTAGTTCGTATATTTATACCTTCTTTCTAATGATCATAACCACTATGGTTTTCTAGTGCATACAGTATCTTTTCATACACGACATCAGTCCTTGTTGATTCAAGAAACCGGGGTCGATCATGAATACTTGAAATTGCAATTCCTTGTTTCTGGGTCGAGGTTTATAAAGTATGTTTTAATTATTAAACCTAAATTCATTTGTGCGATTAAAAAGTAACGTGGATTATAAGAAATTATGTCATTTTCAGTTTGCAATTAATAACATGTAAAAACTAAAGTGGTATTGGCAATTTAAGGTATAAGAAACTACTTGTATTTTGATGAGAAGGTAAACAAGAGGGCCATGATGGCCCTAGATCGCTCACCTGACTTATCAAACTCATCCAAACAATTACCTAGACAAGCATTCTGACCAAGTCTCATGACAGGTGAGTCAAAAATGTGACCACTACAGTGTTAACAAGGATTATCCATATTTGAGCAGTGCGACCTAGTTTTTTACCCAGGTGACACATATTCAAACTTGACCTAGAAATCATCAAAACAAACTTTCAAACCAATTTCCAGGATACTTGGATCAAAACAGTAGCAACTACAGTGTTAACAAGATTTTTCTATTTTTAGCTCCGGTGACCTAGTTTCACATGTGATTTCGAACTCCTCCAAGCAATTACCTAGACAAGCATCCTGACCAAGTTTGATGATAATTGAGTTGAAAATGTGACCACTAGAATGTTAGAATGAACAGAATATTTGGATCACAACAGTTAAGAGGGTTAACAAGATTTTTCTATTTTTAGCTCCTGTGACCTAGTTTTTCATCCGAGATGACCCATGTTCGATTTATTCCCAGCAATGACCTAAAAGACAAGTTTCCTGACCAAGTTTGATGACAACTGAGTCAAAATTGTGACCACTAGAGTGTTAACAAGGTTTTTCTATTTTTAGCTCCTGTGACCTAGTTTTTCATCCGAGATGACCCATGTTCAAACTCATCCGAGCTATCACCTAGACAAGCATTTTGACCAAGTTTGATGATGATTGATGCAAAAATGTGACCGCTAGGGTGTTAACAAGGTTTTTCTATTATTAGCTCCGGTGACCTAGTTTCTCATCCGAGATGACCCATGTTCGAACTCATCCGAGCTATCAACTAGATAAGCATCCTGACCAAGTTTGATGATGATTGAGGCAAAATTGTGACCTCTAGAGTGTTAACATGGTTTTTTATTTTTAGCTCTGGTGACCTAGTTTTTCATCCGAGATGACCCATGTTCGAACTCATCCGAGCTTTCACTTAGACAAGCATCTTGACCAAGTTTGATGATGACTGATGCAAAAATGTGACTGCTAGAGTGTTAACAAGGTTTTTCTATTTTTAGCTCCGGTGACCTACTTTTTCATCCGAGATGACCCATGTTCGAACTCATCTCAGCTATCAACTAGATAAGCATCCTGACCAAGTTTGATGATGATTGAAGCAAAAATGTGACCGCTAGAGTGTTAACAAGGTTTTTCTATTTTTAGCTCCGGTGACCTACTTTTTCATCCGAGATGACCCATGTTCGAACTCATCCGAGCTATCACCTAGACAAACATCCTGACCAAGTTTGATGATGATTGATGCAAAAATGTGACCGCTAGAGTGTTAACAAGGTTTTTCTATTTTTAGCTCCGGTGACCTACTTTTTCATCCGATATGACCCATGTTCGAACTCATCTCAGCTATCAACTAGATAAGCATCCTGACCAAGTTTGATGATGATTGATGCAAAAATGTGACCGCTAGAGTGTTAACAAGGTTTTTCTATTTTTAGCTCCGGTGACCTACTTTTTCATCTGAGATGACCCATGTTCGAACTCATCTCAGCTATCAACTAGATAAGCATCCTGACCAAGTTTGATGATGATTGATGCAAAAATGTGACCGCTAGAGTGTTAACAAGGTTTTTCTATTTTTAGCTCCGGTGACCTACTTTTTCATCCGAGATGACCCATGTTCGAACTCATCCGAGCTATCACCTAGACAAACATCCTGACCAAGTTTGATGATGATTGATGCAAAAATGTGACCGCTAGAGTGTTAACAAGGTTTTTCTATTTTTAGCTCCGGTGACCTACTTTTTCATCCGAGATGACCCATGTTCGAACTCATCTCAGCTATCAACTAGATAAGCATCCTGACCAAGTTTGATGATGATTGATGCAAAAATGTGACCGCTAGAGTGTTAACAAGGTTTTTCTATTTTTAGCTCCGGTGACCTACTTTTTCATCCGAGATGACCCATGTTCGAACTCATCCGAGCTATCACCTAGACAAACATCCTGACCAAGTTTGATGATGATTGAGGCAAAAATGTGACCTCTAGAGTGTTAACAAGGTTTTTCTATTTTTAGCTCTTGTGACCTAGTTTCTCATCCGAGATGACCCATGTTCGAACTCATCCGAGCTATCAACTAGATAAGCATCCTGACCAAGTTTGATGATGATTGAGGCAAAAATGCGACCGCTAGAGTGTTAACAACTAAATGTGAACGGACGACGGACGACGGACGGACGACGGACGGACGGACGACGGACGACGGACAATCATCGATCCTAAAAGCTCACCCTGAGCATGCTCAGGTGAGCTAAAAAGTTTATTATATACACAGTGTATTATTATTATTATTATTATTATTATTATTATTATTATTATAGTGTACGTATTTAAATGAACATACATTGTTGCAGCCTGATGTTGTAGTGTAATTATCCTCGTTACTGTGACAACCGCCATTGTGACCGTACAAACAATCATTGCGATACGAATACCTTCAATATGGCATTGCGTAAGTTTATATAAAATTATCTTTTTGTTAATTATTCTCTCTTTTGCAATTCAATATTAATATCTTCATACAGATTTATTATATAATTTCTTTAGTATATTACTTTGTACAGAAATTCTTTGAACATTTTGCAATTGAACCCAGCGTGATGAACGGGTACAGCATCAAATTCCGGAGATGATAGTTTCAAATTCCAAGAGTTTCTTCTTTGATATACATCACTTCTACGGTCAGTGAATAAGACACGACACCTCGTAATCAATCGACCATACGGCATAATATAAAGCGCATTTCTAGTTTATGAAAAAAGATTTTGACAATAATTTCAAAACAAAAACCAAACAAAATAAAAGTTACCTTTCGTTTTTACAAACTACAATTGTCAAATTATGTTAATGATGTTTTTAAAATTAATAAATAATATAACTTAATCAACTGAAAGTTTAATTACATAAAACTGATACAAGAAATGCAGAGCACAAACACGGAAATACCTTACCTTTACAGTCAACCAGATATACTCCGAACAAAACTGATAAAAATCCTGTGATATTTCCAACGTTAACGACCCAAAATAGTGTATTGTCCGTCCATCCATATAAAAGGGTATACGCTCGAAATTGGGGGCCCGGGTCCCCCAAAAAAATTTTTTAATACGTTCCCCAAGGGGACACGAGGGAAATGACTACCATTGATAGCAGACATTCCCTTTCAAACACCCGGGGCTACTGTTTTATACTTGTGTAAGGACATTTATAAATGTCTTTTACATTTTCCATTCGTTATTTCAAAATTTTTTTATTTAAAATGCGTGTTTTGTTTCTTTTCATTAAAACCTTAATTATCAAAAATATACAATCAAAAGAAATGAGCAGATTTTAGCTATATGTACACAATTATGCACTGTTTTAAGCAAGTACTTCATATCCGAATAATACAGAGCACAATTTCTCTGTAAGTTGTGTAAGTTCCGAAAGTCCCTATAATTATATTTACGTTAATCAAATCTCATTTGGGAAATTCCATCCATGTAAGTGAAATAGTATAAACAACGTTTATGTTGCAAAAATCAAAATGTTTACAATCATAAGGTTTATTTTAGTATAGTCTTGTTATCAATATTTTATCAGACTGATTATTGTAGTGACGATAAAAGTAGGACATGTATATCCGATACCAGATGATGTTCCCATAAATAACAATACGCTTAAAATAGATAAAAATGATTAGTCCTTGAACATATTTATAATCAGTATGATGCGCGCGCATTCATGACTTTTACCACTACGGTCTACAGCAAGGTTTATCACAACTAATCTAAAATTTTACTTTTCATTTAAGTTTCGGCGAAATTTAGGATTTTAATTTTTACTATTCTACTGTATATATACAACAAAACAGGAAGTTGTGACACTTGGGTCAGGTTCGGTTTGACTTTATCTATTCAAAGCCGGTAGTAACATTTACTGGCTTTTGAACGGCATATTTGCGCATGCGCAATACAAGAAATTTCGTGTTACATATATAAAAAAGATTCTCTATTCTTTATATATTTATTTTTTTGTAACAACCCAGATCACAATATGATAAACAATGATAGATATGATGCAATTTACAAATAAAAATAGTATTTTCAAGGAATTGTATGTAGATTACATGGATAACAAACTTGTGTAAAAAGTCACAAATGAAAACTGTCTAGAAGAAACAAAATTACAATTAAAAAGAAATTTGATACAACTAATGGCATACAACAAGTTTTATCAATTTAGTTACGAGTAGAGTTTTAAATAAAATCTTTAAGAGGAAATCTTTTAAGTATCAAAATCATTCAGTTTTTATGGATATTTAGACACATTAATAAAACAAAAAAATACTGATCTATGATTGTTACAAGGATAACTTATTAAGCATGAAAGCTTATCATATTAACTGGGTCCTTTAAAACAAAACCAGAAATTTAAAGCAAGTATCTAATTAAAAACATTACTAATATTCATAATGACGAAGTAAATAATAATGTCATATAGTGTCAACTTAACATGTGCAAACTATGTCATCAACGTAGGTTTACAATACAATGCACAGTATAAAAAATAAGCTAAATTTATACTAAATATCACAGATAATTTGGCAAAGCTCTAATTTCAATAATATAGAACATCATCTTTATATTGCGCTGTCCAGTTTGTAGAAGGTTTTTTTCTTGGTTGGGTATTACGTTGCACAACACAATATAAGTCATATGGCGACATTCCAGCTTTACTGGTTCAAGAAGACCTCAAGTGCCCTTCTGTGTATTATTTCAGACACAAAAGAGAACCCGAGTAAAACCACCGACGTTCCGGAAGCTGTCTGGGTTTCTTTTAACAGAAGGTTTTAAATCAAATTCAAATTAAATTATATAAAACAGAATTTTATAACTATTCTAATCCTAATTCAACTGTAGAAAAATGTTCAAGTGCATATCTTATTATATTGAGGAATGTAAAACTTTAATTTATCTGACCTTGTGATATGTTTGTCAGGGTCACATACGATATTTGTTTTCATATATGCTTGAAAATTATTACAAATTGTTTATGCATATGTTTAAGTCTTGATTGTTTTACTCTATCTTATATGAAACAGAAGTAGAACATAACTTTCGTGTAAAAGAAGAGAAAAACGGAATCCCTAAAGATTGCTCAAAACGACAAAATTGAAAATATTGTAGGCTCGGTTTGGTTTTAAGACTTTTATAAGGAGGTACATGTAACTACACAACCCAAATAGAATAATTTCTATATGTATTTAGACATATGTACACATACTGTAATTTATTATATTTACATTTTCTCTATGCTGTGGAAAAAATATAACACATTTCCATTTGTCAAGCTGTATATTCTATTGCAAGTAAAATTAGTCTAGTAAGTAAAATTATTCAAATAAAACAATCCCCTGAAAATAATACGCAAGCAATTCTTTTTAAGTACTGAAACCATTTTTGGAACAATTTATGTAACTTGTCATGATAAATCAGTAATAATGTCAATGTCAATTCTTTTATACTGTGCTTTATAACACATCATGAGAGGGATAGCAGCGATGTACACACCAACCAGTGCCCAGTTAGCCCAACCTGTGTCTGAAAATATAACCAACAATTTTTATGTTAACGTTATGAATGTTTCAAGGTTAGAGATATTGACCTTTTTTGCCAAAGCTTCCTTCAAGATGCATTCTTTGAAATAATGAGAAAGTTTGTGAACCTCTATCCAATCTCATTTCTGTTTTTAAATTCACCAACATGGTACGAAAAAAACAAGAATTATCGCTAGACTCTGTTGTAATTACATTACCTGAGCAATATGAAAAACTTTGCTCTGTCAAAACCATTGAATTGTTTTCATAAAAGTTAAATCATGTTGTCTCATGTTTGTTTCAGTATCGCAATATAATGCATGTGATCCAAATCAAATTGAATAAGCACGATATAATATTTTTTGTGTGACAAAATCAAAGAACACCCCAATGTAAAAAACCCTCTTTTTTACTTTTATAGCAACATGTCCTGCTCAAAATTTAGGCATAATTGTATTCGTTGCTTTTATTCAGTAAGTAAAAGCAGATTTTTCAGTACCGGACAATCGCAAAAATGCAGAGCAAAGGCTACTAATTAAAAGAAACGGTCATGGCACGCAACCCAACACCCTATCTTAAAGAAACAGAAGAAAACATTCGTTGTCATACCTACCTACATTCGGAATAAGTTCTACTGACAGGAACGCTGTTGCTCCTAAATTGATCATCATACCGAGGAAGCCTGCAGTGACACCCTCGGCTACCGGGTAGGAGGCTTCACACGTTATCTCCATAAATAAAGGCATACTGCTGTTGGTTATAATACTTCCTATGATGATTGTGGCATAAAATGCAACTGTAATAAAAATTTGAAACTACATAGTTTCGAATAAAATATTATCACAGGGTATGAAGTTTATACGAGTGATATCAAGAGCTGTTTCACTTCTCATTGTTTTTCCTATTTTGAAAACCTGCAATATTCTTCTTGATTTTTGCTTAAGTTTACTTCCAAATAGATATCTTGCTTTTTATCAATTCTTGATGTCACAATTATGTTAATTTACATACTTATATAAAACAAAATTAACTTAACACATTTGACTCGTTCAGTCTGTTGATTGAAATTGGTTGGAATTTTTTTGTCATTGGCAGTAAGTCATGCATACACAGCACATAAAAAGCTTATGAATGCTAGAAAGCACAATTGAGTTTTCTTGAACTTCCAGACATTTTTTCTGGTATGTCAACAATTTGCACAAAACAGATTTGTATTTTTGACACCAAAAGTTGCTATTAGTGAACTGAGTGCTTAAGCAACATCTTAGTTAAATGGTGAAAAGTTAAGGAGACTTAGAAAAATATGTCGGCTGAAATAATACCTTTTGAATGAGGGAGTATCTTTACACACATCAATGTAAACAATGTGAAATCTACTGCAGCACAAATATATAGCAAAACAATTATAGTTTTCGTTATCCTTTGAATTCTGTCGACAAACCTAGAAAAATATTTTTTTGTTTTATCTTATAGATAACATAGGATGTTGATTGTGTTAAGCTATAAAAAATTCATCTTAATGAATTTTTTAGCCATAAATGTTTTCTATGTCATTTTTGTTGTAAAATAATCCTACTTCTAAGCAATCGCTCAAGTTTATAACTTTTCCTAGAGCTAAACTTTAAATGCTAATAACATTAAACTTGGTCAATATAACTGCTATCAATCAAAGTCCGAATTGTACACCCATTTATCAAAACACAATTCCACCGACATGATGTTTTTAATTAATGCACTATATATCAAAAGCTAAAATAAGTGACAGACAACTTCTGCTTTAATGTACTTAAGTATTATTTAATTATAATTGTCATGCACGTGTAAATTATAAATACAGAAGCAAAAAAAAACAAACCATGGTGTAATTGTTCGATACTATCAAAGTCCCATGCAACTATAACATGTTAAAGCCTGATGATAAAAGCTTCAATTTATTTACAGAATCATTTAATTAATCACTCTATTTTATAAGGAGAACTCTATATTTTTTAAAGAACGAAAGCAAAGAGACTACCTGCCAAGAAGTATTCCAACAACCACACCACCGATTGATCCGTAAAAATTCATCCAGCCAGCATCAGCCTTTATTATGAAAAGAAAAACAACTTCCGAAGGGTTTTCAATTAATCATAAGGAGGAGCATTTTCGAAATTCTTGGTACAACATATTTCATTTGTCTTTTATGCTTATTAACTTCTTGTATTTGTTTTTCATTAAAGCTTAAATGTCATTTGAAAAGGATTTATGAACTTGAACTTTTTAGGATTGTAAGAAGATGTAAAATACCTGAGAAATTCCAAATGGACTTAAAACCACATCAAGGATAGATGCAAGATTTGCAGCAAATCCTACTGGTATGGAGTAAACGGCAGCTATACACCAAACCGATGGATTCCTGTAACATTACAAGCGTGTTTACTTTCATATTAAAATTTTGCTTTTTGTTTGAACAAAAGTGTTTTTCTTTGAATGAGATTCGTTCCAATAGTTTATATATTATTAATATAACTTTAACCATTACTTTACAATTATTCACAGTTGATGTAAGATTTATTTGTGCCCGATGTATTTTAAACAAACAACAACATTAAACATACATTAAGTAGGTTGTATGGATTTCTCCAAGAACTAGTATTATGGTTTTGTTGTTGATTTTTTTAAAAGGTTAAGGCTTTTAAGCAGCATGCCTCCAGATTCATGCTAATTTTCATAAAAATTTTGAAAATGTATGAGAAAGTAAGATTTAGTGAAATGAACAAAGAGTTATTTACACACTGCACACAGCACTTACAGTCCAAACAATAGGTCAAAATAATACAACAACAGCCCCTTCTGCGTCAGTCACGCAGTATAAGAATGGTTATAAATACTGCAAAACCGACAGTGCTATAAGTATATAGACAATGACACTTACGTGAGGAGTTTACCTATGCCAACTTTTAGGGAGTATCTATCAATGTTTGCTGTTTTACTAGGAGCTGTTTTCGGTTTGGAAGGGAGATAAATGATACAGCACAGCATCAGAAAGATGGACAACCCAAAACCTAGCAGACAGAATTAGTGAAAAAAATATAAACATAACTTATTAATTAGATTAATGAGAAAGAAATTAGAAGAATTAGAGAACTGTATACTAGTATATGATTATGTAAATAAAACTAAAATGGAAACATATTTTACTTTCTTCACTAGAAACATTATTTTTTATACATAATATTAAAACTTACTCATGTAATGTAAGTCCATCATTTGAGATTCAATAAGTGAAACATCTGAAAACAAATGTAGACGACTCTTATTTTACATACATTAAAAACTGGCAGTGTTACACTGATTACATTTTTATTCTTTTTTCATTGTCTCATAAAGATTTTACGTTTTAAAATCAGTTAAAAACAACTTTAATCTTTGATAAGAAAATCAATTATTTATGTACAGGATCACTGAATAATACCCATAATGTGGATAAGAGGAATAAAAGTATCGGGCAAGTAGTCCTTACTTCAGATGCATCAGCGCATACTTATATGTCTTTAAACAAACTAGTATAAAAGTAATGAAAATATTTGTACCTGTTTCATTAAGTAGAATTTCTGTTCCATTTCTAAAACACAATAAAATAATGTTATACCTAATGTGTGCCAAGTTAATTATTACATACATGATCACTTTTGTGAAAATAATGTTACATAATCATGTTTTCAATTATAAAATTTAACATTTTTAAGTGGTAAAATAATTATATAGAAAATACGGCAAATAAAAAAAGAATTTCATACAACATTTGAATAAGGAAACAAATACGTACAATTTAGGCATTGAAACTGTAAGAGGTCCTAAAAAATAAAAGAAATCTTATAATGATTAGTAAAACTGAGAAAAAAAACTTTGTTATCTTTTATGTTTGTGAGTTAATCAGGGTCTTCCTATTTGAAAGAACCTGGTTTAATGTATGATTTTTAAAAAAAATCTTTCCACCACGTTTTAAAAATTGCATTTCATGTGGGCGTATTTAGAGTAGTATAACAAATAAACAGTACAAGATTGTCAGATGAATAATAAAGAGCGTTTACCAAAAAGAAAGGCAGCTGCTGCACCTAAGGCGAATGCTAGTGTGGAGACAGCTGTAGCGGTGGTCCTCTCCGTCGCCCGGAACCAGGTTTGTGACACGACTGTTGGGGTGCACAATGTAATACTGTTGGCTATTCCATTAAGAGCTTGTCCGATGGCTATTAATCTTTTCAATAAACATGAAATGAGCAGCGTCACGACAAAACCAACATAATGGGTTTGCGACCAGCATGGATCCAGACCAGCCTGCGCATCCGCGCAGTCTGATCAGGATACATGCTGTTCGCTATCAGTTTCTCGACTTGTAAAAGGGTTGGTAAGGGAACAGCATGGATCCTGATCAGACTGCGCGGATGCGCAGGCTGGTCTGGATCCATGCTGGTCGCAAACCCATTATGTTGGTTTTGTCGTGACGCGGCTCAAATAAATTACATGTTTCATATTGTATTTAAAAGCGATTTTGTTCTTATCCTAGAGTATAAAACAACAAGTTGGCACAACTAGGCGCCAACAATACAAATTGATTGTTTGTGAACATAAAAATACAAATATTAACTTGCTATTGCAGTGCAAAATAAAATTGCTTTACAGTTTTAAACCACTTTCATTAACTTCTGGGCGGAGCGGGATACAAGTTCTACACATGTAAAATATAAACACATGTAAAATATAACAATTTGCAAACTAACTAAAAACTTTAAACAACCTTAATTTGTAATCACAACCTAATGTAAATAAACTATTACACCACTTTTCAATGAAAATGCTGTAGATTAAATCAGCCACGTCAGGACAAAACCAACATAATGGGTTTGCGACCAGCATGGATCCAGACCAGCCTGCGCATCCGAGCAGTCTGATCAGGATACATGCTGTTCGCTTACAAACCCTACTACAAGTAGAGAAACTGATAGCGAACAGCATGGATCCTGATCAGACTGCGCGGATGCGCAGGCTGGTCTGGATCCATGCTGGTCGCAAACCCATTATGTTGGTTTTGTCATGTCGCGGCTCAAATAAACTTATACTAGTAATCTTTCGTAAAAAACCTTACATTGTCGCTATTCGTTTATGTAGCGTTATAATTCTTGACGTCGAAGAAAGCACCATTATAACTGTACAAACTATCATGGAGATTCTGATACCTGCAGATTAAAATTTAAAACTCTTTTATACGGTGTGCTGTTTGTGCCAGTAGGACATGCCTTTTTCGGCTATGACCATTGGTGCTGGAAAAAAGCCAAATTCTCCGAAAAAGACATGCTAGAATTAAGGTTAATCTTCTCACATTCTAGAAAATACTTTTTAATTTTCATTGGCATGTATAATTTCGTATACATGATATAAGAATGAGAACATAAACACAAGAGATTTACTAAAAATCTCTCATGGTTACAGGCGACAATATAATAGAACTAGACAGTTAACCGTACTTTCATGACGAAAAATAATAATAAAACAACAAAAAACATAGTTTCTTAGAAACATAAGTATGTAATGTATGATAACAGTTGATTGCAAATCAATTATAGAGCATTGCAAAAGCTTCCAAATGAAAATAAGCTACTGATATTGGACAAACTTTTGAAGAAATAAAATCAGCAGATAAAAGCTATAATTAAGTGGAAGATCTAAACAAGAAGACATTATATTTTAGAAATCAAAAATATTTTCGTATGTTATTCCTACATCACTTCCTAACAAAAGAAGATTAATCTTGTTACATCACGTTTGGTTTTTTTCTCTATATTTACTAATGCGAAAAATCCGTTGCGTTCAATAAATGAAATCAATTTCATGAAAAGTAAAAAGATTGCTTGAGCAAATCAAAAGAGATTAAAGATGTGTGAAGTTGGCGGCCTGGCGGCCTGGCGGCGTGAAGTTGGCGGCCCAGCGGCCTGGCGGCCTAGCGGCGTGAAGTTGGCGGCCCAGCGGGCCTGGCGGCGTGAAGTTGGCGGCCCAAGCGGCCTGGCGGCCTAGCAGCCAAAAAATTTTAATGTTCTAGAAATGTTTTTTAACAATAAAACGGCATTTAATGAAGTTTTAAAGATAATTATTCTTATTTAAACGATATATCTAAAGAAAAAAATGACTTTCAGAGATTTTTTTTTAATTTTGTCATTTTTTGTGAAGTTGGCGGCCAAGCGGCCTGGCGGCCTAGCAGCCAAAAATTTTAATGTTGTAAAAATGTTTTTTTTAACAATAAAACGGCATTTAATGAAGTTTAAAGATAATTATTGTTATTTAAACGATATATCTAAAGAAAAAAATCACTTTCAGAGATTTTTTTAAGTTTGTCATTTTTGTGAAGTTGGCGGCCCAGCGGCCTGGCGGCCTAGCAGCCAAAAATTTTAATGTTGTAAAAATGTTTTTTAATAATAAAACGGCATTTAATGAAGTTTTAAAGATAATTAATGTTATTTAAACGATATATCTAAAGAAAAAATGACTTTCAGAGATTTTTTTAAATTTTTGTCATTTTTTGTGAAGTTGGCGGCCCAGCGGCCTGGCGGCCTAGCAGCCAAAAATTTTAATGTTGTAAAAATGTTTTTTTTAACAATAAAACGGCATTTAATGAAGTTTTTAAAGATAATTTATTGTTATTTAAACGATATATCTAAAGAAAAAATCACTTTCAGAGATTTTTTTAATTTTGTCATTTTTGTGAAGTTGGCGGCCAGCGGCCTGGCGGCCTAGCAGCCAAAAATTTTAAAGTTGGTAAAAAATGTTTTTGTAACAATAAAACGGCAATTAATGAAGTTTTAAAGATAATTATTGTTATTTAAACGATATATCTAAAGAAAAAATGAATGGAACCAAAAGTAGCAATATATGAGTTGGTTATTACAAATTATTCAATATATGGAACCAAAGTAGCAATGTATGAAACCAGGTGTCCTTCTTATGAAACCAAATTATCAATATATTAAATCATTTTTTACAATATATGAAACCATTTTTATCATGTATGGAACCAAAGTAGCAATATATGAAGTTGGTTTTTAAATAATA